GTTAAAAGTCATAAAGTCACATAACTTCTTCGTGTACAAATCTCAATCAAAATGGCTTGACTACTCGAAAAGGTGAACGAAGTTAGAATGAACTACCGAATCGAATGCTGATTTTCCAGCATAACCTGCCTTGACCAGCCTCCCGAGTTGACCAGCTTGACCTTGACCTGAAGTCAACATCTCGGTTGGTAGGTACCTCCCCTCCCTCTACCACTCAAAAAAAAAAAAAATGGCGCGGCGCAGCTGATTATGACGAGCATGATGTTTCTGAAATCGCAACTTCGCTACCATTTTTTCCCGAAAGTATTTGCAAAAATATATCGAGGGCTGGTTCCTAATTGACCATTGTTGGAAACTGGTTGACCTTAGACAATGGGGTACACCAGTCGCTTGGAGCCGTTACGACGCGCACACGCGTTTCTTCCTGGAAATCACCGAAGATTTAAAACCCAACCCAACCCAACCATACCTAACCTGTAGGGCAAGTGCGAGGATACGGCGATGGGGTCGCCTTCCCCTCCGTGCTTATGAGACCGAGGAAAATACACATGTAAAAAAAGACAGGGCAGCGGGGCTGGCTTTGAGTATTTACCTAATTGAAATATCCTAGACATTTCTGGCTCTAAATGCTTCGTCATTTCTGAGACATGAACAAAAATGTAGGCGGACATTCTATCGATTGTAACATGATCATTCATTCGATGGTAAACAACGATCCAGTAACAACGAACATGCTAACACGTTTTTTTTCTGCTCCAGATGCACCTTTGCAAGAATCACATCTGTCTTCAAATGCAAGAGGAAATGAGCCAGCCGATGACCTCAGGACAGTTCAAAATCAGGTGAGTAGCCCGTTCTATATACGTTCTTATTAACTTAATCAGTTTATTTGTGAGAGCATCTGATCATCACCATTCAGTGCCTAAATAATGACCTTTACTGGCTGCAGTTAATGGCCGCATTGGTGTTCACTAACTGTTTGTAAATGTTGTGAAGTAGGGAAGCGCACATCTCGGGAAATTCTTCTTCCAAAGAGGCTTTGTTTTAGCCTGTGTGTGTGTGGGCAGGGGTGGGAACATGTCTGTGAGTATCCCCCCATCCACCAGTGACACAATATTACTCACGACAGGTGACGTCAGACGTGCCACCGGTGACGTCAGATCCGATGACGTCACACCCACTGGACACGACCGCCGCTGCTGTCCCTCCCAGTCCCGTCTCCAATCACCATATGGGATTCAACCGTGGACCCTTACCGAACGTCCAACTTGGGATGAAAGCCAGCGCCTTACCGCCCTCTTCAGAGGCTGCGAGAAGTACTGCGCATGCGCCGGATTCGACGCCCGAACTAGATACGACGCCATTCCGGCCAATGAAGCTGCCTGCGGTAAGTGATTTGCTGACTTCTGAAAAAGGAACTTTATTTTAAGAACTTTTTCGTCCGGATAGTCCGCTTCATTCACTGTGGCGTATGCGTTTGGAGCTGGGCTCTAGATCCTAACCCTATGTTTTAGGCATAAGTAATGTCTCCTAAAGGTACCTATCCCTAAAGAGTTAGATATGAAACATAAAAAAGTTTGAAACGTGTCTGGCTTTCTCTGTCGGCAATTATCGTGTCCCCATTTTTATGTCTGCCTATCAATGGACTTTTTCTGTTGTCCCTCAGTTTTTTAACCCGCGCGGGGCTGGGGGGGGTAAATTTTACCCCCCCTCGCGAATTTTAGCGATATCTCAAAAACGGCGGCGCGCAGCGCCGCCAAACTTTCAGTACCTTTTCTTACATCAATTTGACACCTTCCCTGAAAATTTGAGCGAAATCCGTCGGAAAATTTTTGAGAAATTGACGTTTTAGTGACGTCATGTTCGCCATTTTCGCCTCAAAAACGGCAAAAGTTCAAACGCCGGTAACATCTTCATTTTTAAAGGAATCAAGACGTAACAAAAAAGGTTATACGTAATTTTACTTTGTCTATCAAATGGCTATCTCGGTTTTTTGAAAATTTTGGATTTTGGCCTAATTTTTTTCAAAAAACTGATTTTTTGGGAAAATCATTATAAAATCCAAAATTTTGAGTCTATCGAAAAAACCGGAATATATGTCAGAGAAGTGGTCTATGTGCACCTACATACCAAATTTTAGAAGAATCGGTTCAAAAATGTGGGAGTTATTCAAAATTTTATGACGTCACGACACACAAAATTTTTGAAAAATGACTTTTTTGGAAGTTCTAGACCTCGTACGGAAACAAAAATAGCACCATTCGATTCGCCGTGAAAAACTGCATCAGATAGACACCTTTTTAGGCCTTAACAACCAACTTCAAAATTTGACCTCATTTGACCTGACCTTGACCTGACCTCGACCTGAAATTCATCCAGAGGTGGTCCATATCACTTATTGAGTGTGCCTATTGAATTCTATGAGTAAAATGACCCATAAAACATGTGTCGCACATGACCTTTTCTATATTTTGTTTTTTGGTGACCTGACCTGACCTGACCTGACCTTGACCTTGACCTCTGAATGATATTGTATGCAACTAATATTGTCTTGGTAGCCTAAGAACACGTTTTGGGCGATCAGTCTCAGTCCATGACTCCATTCTTCGGCAACTACGGTGCAAGGCCGATACTGTAGAAACTTGCAATTTGTACCCTTGACCTGACCTTGACCTTGACCTCAAACTTTAAATTAAGTACATGTTTTTAGTAGTTCGTGATGAGAGCTTTCGATTGGCGTTTGAATTTTCCAAATCGGACCATTAGTTCGGGAGATAACAGGGGGGGTAAAATTTACCCCCCCCCCCAGCCCCGCGCGTTCGGCTGGAGACCCCAGCCCCGCGCGGGTTAAATGTTGTTTTGTCCATGTTTTTATTTATTTCTGTTTTCTGTGTCCTTGTTTTACCGTAGTTCCTCACTGTTTTATAATGCCTCCACTGCCTGTGTTTTAACTGTTTTCTGAATGATTGAATTGTAAATACTACTGCGCTCGATATCTCACCCTGTATCTGTCGCGTCTCACTGCAGTTATTCTGTGATCTGCCCCCAGTCTGTGGCCTCCCCGCCTGCTGAAGTACCCTCCGTTGAACCAGACAGTGAGGGAGGCTGGTCCGTCTCCCTGGCTGGATTTGGAGGAGGAAGCCAGGACTCTGCAGACTCCGATAACTCCCTGAAGTCCAACAAACTCGTCAACTCCGCGGACACACCTGCATCGGATAACTCTTTACACTCCAATAACACCGATCAGCATGTTAAAGTCCTGGATGGCATTGGAGGCGCTGACGATGACGTCACTGATGACGTCACAGGGGGCACAGGAGATCTGGCCACCGGATCTGATGATGGCAGAGGACGATTTGATGACGTCTTCCGCTCGGTGCTAATTGCAGCTGGTCCTGAAGACTTTGCCGGTGGTAAAGGTAGTGATTTGAATGGGTCTCAGAAAGAGGAAGGAAATCAAGCCGATAAATTGAAAACTATCGGAGACAGAGGTAAAGAGATGATTGAGACCCTTCTGAAACAGGCTTTGTCTTCAGAGAGTATCAGTGATCCAAGCTCCTCTCCCTCTAATCTTCCAGCCTCTCCTCTCTCCCCCTCCTCCTCTCCCCCTCTCTCTCCCTCTCCCTCCACCGGCTCTGCCTCGCTGCGCATTGCCACCCCGTCTCAATCCACGCCCCGAGGTCCTGGGACGTTCTACCACTTTGTCAACTCTCCCATGAAGCCGGAGGACGGCAGCAACTGCACCTTCGATCCCATGGAGGAGGGAGAGCCTGTGGGACCTCAGATGAGTCCCAGTGTGGGACCTCAGATGAGTCCCAGGATGCAGCTACAGACGATGCCACAGACGGTGGCGCGGACGATGTTGCAGAATACGGGAGTGCCGAGGGTGAACCCAAAGCCACAGTCGGAGACGGAGCTGGAACGACAGCCCCTGCTGAAGCCAGAGCCGCAGCCAGTTCCCGAGTCGGGGTCACGGTTAGATGCGTTCGTAAAGCCAGAGGCCGCGGCAACAGCGCTGCCGCTAGAGGCGCTGTCATCGGTCGGTAGTTCTCCTCCATCGCCGCTAGAGGCGCTGTCGACTGCCGGTAGTTTTCCGCCGTCGCCGCTAGAGGCGCTGTCGACTGTCGGTCGTTTCCCTCCACCGCCGCCAGGGGCGCTGTTATCACAGATGGCGGAGGCCGATTCTGTGATGCCGTCGTCTGGGGTATGTCCGCCCTGCCGCTGTGAGTGTGCCGAAACTGGCCGGTTTAAACCCCGCGTGTGACGCGTGATGCCGGGTATGTGGCCCGAGATATTGGTGAAACCTGCACCTCTAATAGTTCAAGACGTTTTTTGTTGTTTGAGTGGGAGTAGGACTTTGTGGTGGCGAAGAAACTGTTATGATCTGCACAACAAATAAGGTTACGAAGATGCTATATGTTAGCATGCACTATTGAGATATGCAAACATGGTTGCCACTTGCTTTAGCGCAAAACTGCATGTGAATGAAGTGGAATTTGTAAAAAAGCTACGCATACAACAATGGTTATTGGTGAGAGTAAAAGTTCAAATATCGACCGTCGTTTCATGAGCGTCTACCGAAGCATAGTCAAGCCCGGCAATCTAGCATCGTTGCGTACAGCATCTTTAGTTTTTCTTCTGTTCCACTTCCGGCTGTCCAATGTCGTCTTCTGACGTCAATAGGTCCTAGCTGCTACAAAACTGACCTTAGGCAGTTAGGCACTACCTGCCAACCGATTAGCTTCGTACCTACTGTGGTAGCCTTTAGTTGTTAGTTGCCATTACTTGTCCTTCCGAGGCAATCCATGCTTTGATTTCAGCCGTGACTAGTAATTTACTGTATTGAAGATACTTGAAGCGTAACCCAACAATCCACACGTGAAACACAACCCTAGTGAGTAGTGGGCTATAGAGATGTAAAATATGAGTCATTTTCCCATTGTAACCAGTGTTTACTTCTCACTTCCTGGTTTCGGCCGACTCCCTCCCAACAAACGCTATTTAAAAGTATATTTTTATTGACTATTCTAACGATTACATCAGCATCTGTGACGTCACCAGTCCTGCTGACGTCACAGGCCCAACACATAGTATCAGCACATACCGCGGGCGGGCGCCAGAGGCCCTCAAATCACACACACAGACCAACCGAATGGTTTGAGAGCCCCCGCGCAGCGGCGCTTACCGCGAGCCAGAGCGGGAGCTACAGCGAGCCAGCAGCGAGCTAACCGCGAGCCATAGCGGTGGCTACAATGAGCCAACACGAGCTACAAAGTGCAGCGCGAGGCAATGGAGCCAACCGTGGGCCACAGCGGGAGCTACAAGGAGCCAACCGTGGGCTAAAGCGGGAGCTACAAGGAGCTAACGCGGGACCGCCGAAGCGGTTTGAACTCGGCAAACGATTGGTAAACGTCGGCAAAAGCGAATACAACTGGCTCTCCTCTTCACCCCGCCCCCAAAGAAAATGCCGAAAAAAGCCCCCCCACCCCAAATCCAGCTTTCCGGACCTTATCCCGATGTTGTCCCTTCCTCCCCCCCCCCCCCATCCCTCGCTTGCACCCAATACAGCGAGCCTTAAACCTAGACACAACTGAACTAAACACCTCTTCTGTCGGCACAGCTAACTACAGCGTTTGATTTTAGCAGCTACATCCAACTCACAGTCATGACGTCACACACGGGGGCGGGGCGATGGATGTGACGTCATGTATGACGTCATAGGATGACTGGGAGCAGAACCGCTAGTGATTTATCTGCAGTGCAGTACCCATCGGACACCCCTGTTAAATCTGTGCAGCTGAGCCTTATCTAACTAACCATGGGCATATGAAAATAGCGACATTTACACGCACAATAAGCACAGATATACGGATTGACATCGTCTCACATACCAGCACATCTTACCTGCGACATAAGAACCCCGCGCAGAGGCTAGGTAACGTCGAATCTGAAACAGCCAATCAGAAGGACGCTCGAGAGCGCTTCAACCAACCAGCACGCGTCATTATGTCGACCAATCAGCACGCTGCGGCCTGTGCCGTTCAGAACTGGTCTCTCAGGTATCTACCAATCACGGCCCGGCTCGCTGTGGGCCCGCTTTACACCAATCACGATCTCCGAGACGCGCAGTCTTCCGCCAATGGTAACACGCCATGTTAAAGTTTCTTAAAGCGCAGTGCGCGTGTCTACACCAAACAGGATGCGAAATGGTCGGCAGCGGACCATCAGGACGCGAGTTCACTTTAAGTTAGCCAATCAGTTCGCGAGTTGGCCGTAAGTTGACCAATCGGGACGTCCGATGTTCCACGTTGACCAATCAGCACGCGACTTGGCTCTAAGTCGACCAATCAGGTGCCCGTTCACTGACGCACATGGTTCATGACCACCGTCTGCGCCTCAGCCAGTCCCAGCGACCCCAGAACTTGTCCCAGGTACTCCAGAGAGAGATTGCTGTATTTCTGTAACGAGAAAAACGTAAACATCATGTGGCTGTTGATGAAGATTGGGTTTAGGGTCACCCCAGGGGCGCAGGACTGCAGAAGAGTACAATGGGAGTTAATGCGAGAACATCGTGGGAAAGAAAAAGCGGTGATGTTACAAGCTAGGCAACGTACGACATGAGCAGGAAAATAATGCTTGGAAATTATTCAGTGCTTTTAGTTACACATGAGATTGCTTTCGCATTTTATAAAAAAAAAAACACTTACCGTGCATAATGTGTAAACACGTCACAAGGGGGTGGCTTACAATGCCTCCTGAAAATTGTGTCTCGGGTGGTATGGTAACATTGGGAAAAGTTTTAGCAGTAGATGACAGCTCGCCCCTCCCCTGGATATGCCCATGACGTGACCTCGCCTTGACACAGCGCAGTATGGTTCTATGCTATACATCCCCTCCCCTGAATCCGCCTCTGCCGTGACCTAATCTTATCACAGCGCAATAAAAGTACAAACAGCCCCGCTCCTGATTCTGCCCCTGCCGTGACCTGATCTTGCCACTGCCAGAAGTACAAACAGCCCCACCCCTGGATCCGCCCCTGCCGTGACCTCACAATGGGTTTGTTCCAGTCGCACTTCCTAACACCTCTAAACTCCTCCAAGAGCAAGATAGAGGAGGTTGGAGCAGGGCCCTCCTTGGCTTTGTAGAAGCTAGAGCTGCCACTGGAACAGGGAAGCAATCTTGGAGGAGTTTAGAGGTGTTAGGAAGTGCGACTGGAACAGACCCCTTGACACAGCGCAGTAGAAGTACTAACACCCTCCCCCCTGAATCCGCCCATGCCGTGACCTCACCTTGACACAGCGCAGTAGAAGTGTAAAACACCCCCCCTGATTCCGCCCCTGCCGTGACCTAATCTTGCCACAGCGCGGTAGAAGTACAAACAGCCCCATCCCTGGATCCGCCCCTGCCGTGACCTCACAATGGGTTTGTTCCATTCGCACTTCCTAACACCTCTAAACTCCTCCAAGAGCAAGATAGAGGAGGTTGGAGCAGGGCCCTCCTTGGCTTTGCAGGGGCTAGAGCTGCCACTGGAACAGGGAAGCAATCTTGGAGCGCAGCGCAAGATTGCTGACACAGGGCAGTAGAAGTACCAACACCCCCCCCCCCTGGATCCGCCCCTGCCGTGACCTCACCTTGACACAGCGCAGTATGTAGACGGTGGGGCTGGCCTGGCGCTGCACAGTGGTGACATCTAGCTCCAGTAGTTCGGCCACCGTCCGCCAGGGCCCGCTGTCTCCGTCCAGCAGGGCGCTCAGCTGACGAACGGCGGGACCAGGCAGACCGGTACCCTCTGCAGCAAACAACGGTGGGTAAGGAGTATTTAGAGGTGAAGTGGAAACAGAACCCTGCGAAATCATTGCAATGTGATTTTAACTCGGCTGACACATGCCAGTATACATCTGAAGTCACTACAGGGCGTGGATACCTAATAATTAAGAAATAAAGGCGCATTAGCTACGAGTCATATTTGAGATAAGCCAGAAATGCGTTTGTAATTTGCATCATTTTCGCGTATTACTCTGCATATATATGACGCTGGGTTACACTGGCATCGTCCGTTAGTACATTGCTGATGGTTTATCGTTCAAACCGGTCACAATCGCCAATGACATTTAGTTTCTCTCGCCCCTCACGGAACGTGGGATCTGTTACCCGCAAAATCCGATGAAGCAATGCGGTACAGCCTAGTTTCAGGCGTTCGCTTAGCCTGCCATCTGGCGTCAACGGGGGAAAAGTGCGGTACCACAACCCACACGCATAGATGACGCTGCTGAAGCGCTATCTGCTGCCTGAACCGACGCTGGATTCGACGGGAAGGGGCATGTGGGGCAAATGACCCCCGCAACGCACCAAATACGACGAAAAATTGTCATTTTTCACAAATATAAAGAAAATTACACAACATTAAATAGGAAAAGTTAGTTTTGAAGCACGGCAGTGCGTAAAGAATAGAAAAATCCGATAAGTTTTTTTTTTGCAATTTGGAAAAAAAAAACTTGTTACGGGATATGCTACCCGCAGCGTTCGAGACCGCCTGTCTGGATCAGCCAAAGCTATTAACCCTACAAACCCTCTGTTGAATCTCTGTTTAACATTACAATAAAATGCCGAATCTCTCGAAGGAAGGAATCAGTCTTACCAGCGTCGCTGATGGGCCCGGTGACGTCACAGGCGGAGCTGAGCTCCTGGGTGATCCCCAGACCCGAGTCCATTCCACTATCCATATCTCCCTTCTTCCCAGCCAGTGCCGCCACCGGCGCCGCGGCGGCCGCCTGGGCCAGCGGCGCAGCGGCGGCGGCGGGGGCGGCGGGGGCGGCGGCAGGGGCGGGGGCGGCGGCGGGGGTCTCCTCAGGGCCGTCATCCTCCTCCTCATCATCCGGGACCTGAATACGGCCCAGCAGGATCTGCTCCAGCTGCGGGGGGAACAGAAAAAGACGTCAATAAAAGGAAAAAGACGTGCGCCAGAGGTAATTAAATGTTGTATTTTGACTACTTCATTGGGGGGGGGGGGTGAAACTCGATGGGTATTGAATACATAGGTATAATATAACGATTGAGATGAGTTAATACAGTAGAAAAAAGTGCAAACAAGAAAAACGTTCTGAGTCTGTACGATAATATCCGATAACACCTTTCGTATTTGCATCTCAACAGTCCATTCATATGAGTCATTTATTCCAAATGCATGAAATTATATCACTGAACTTCAGTGTGTTTTGAACAGGACTATGCCATTAAATGGGTCTCTCCCTCTTTCTCTCTCTCTCTCTCTCTCTCTCTCTCTCTCCTCTTCTCTCTTTCCTCTCTCCTCTCCTCTCTCTCTCTCTCCTCTTCTCTCTCTCTCTCACCTCTCTCTCTTCGTCTCCCTCTCTCGCCTCTCTCTCTC